CTCGAGGGAAACGAGTGGGCAAAACTAATCGAAAACTTCACCGGTTTCAAGAATGGCTTGGTTAGGCTCTCTCCCGGCGGGTGGGTCTACTCGAAGAATTATTGTAACTTCGCCGACAAACTCTATAACTTCGAGGTGAGTTGTATGGTGGTTAATGATCATGTTTATCGTTGTTCTTTAATGGTGGAAAGTTTTATTATGGTTGTTGCCTTGTTGAATTATTGGATTGTTATTATTATCGTTATTATCGGTGTTATTGCTAATTCTACTTCATATCATATTCTCTATTCTCATTACCATTATCGTCAATTGATAATCACTATCTTCATAGTCATCACCATCATCATAATTATCATTTTCTTATCATTTTTATGTTTGTCATCATATTTTTCCCCATGATAGTGTTATTGTAATTGTAATGATTAATTACTTAGCTTGGGTGATTTTTAAGCATATTTTGTTTCCTCTTCCTCCTTCTCCGTCTTCATCTTCGCCTCCTCCTCATCATCATCATCATTAATATCATTACCAACAGTATCATCCTCATGACATCCTCATGACCTCATCATCATCATCATCATCATCAATCATCATTACAACATTCATCATCATGATCCTGACCCTTCCTCCCCTCCCCCTCGCCCCCTCCCTTTCCCCTCGCCACTACCATCTTCCTCCACCACCACCACCTCTACCACCTACTCACCACCACCATCACCACCACCCCCACCACCTACTCGTCCACCACCACCACCACCACCTCTACCACCTACTCCTCAACCTCCACCACCACCACCACCACCTACTTCTCCTCCTCCTCCCACCACCACCACCACCTACTCTCCTCCTCCACCACCACCACCACACCACCTACTCCTCACCTCCACCACTACCTCTACCCTACTCTCCTCTACTCCTCCACCACCTACTTCTCCACCACCACCACCACCTACTCCTCCACCACTACCTCCACCACCACCACCACCTCTACCACCTACTCCTCCTACTACTACTCCTACTCCTCAGGCAGTTCCGCAAGAGCGACGTGCTGGTGATGACGTGGCCAAAATGCGGCACAACGTGGACGCAGGAGATCGTGTGGACGATGAGGAACAACATGGATCTCGATCACCCCGAGGCGGAGCGGCCATCTTGGATCGGGTGCCGTTCATGGAGTACGTTTTTTTTTTTTTTTTTTTTTTTTTTTTTTTTTTTTTGGGTTGGAGAGGGAGTTGGGAGGGAGAAGGAAAGGAAGGAGGATGGTGGGAGTGGGAGGGAAGTGAGAGGGAAGGGGGTGGGAGGGAGAAGAAGAGGGAAAGGGATGGGAGGGACGAGAGGGAGGAGAAGGGAGAAGGAAGGGGTGGGAGGAGAGAGGGAGGAAAGAAGGGATGAGAAGGAGAGAGGGGGAAGGAGAGGGAGGGTGAGGGAGAAGGAAGGAATATGGGAGATGAAAGAAAGGGGAAGAGAGGGAGAAGGAAAGGAAAGAGAGAAAATGGAAAGAAGGGAGGGGAGTAAGAGGGGAGGAAGACGGAAGGGAGTGGGAGGGATGGAGGAAAGGGAGAAAGGAGAAAGACAGAAAGAAGGAGGAGACGTAAAAGGAAGAGCGAAAGAGTGTAAATGTGAAAGAGAGCAGGAAAAAGAGAGAGAGAACAGAAAGAAGAAGACAGAAAGAGAAAACAGACAGACAGAAAGAAAGAGAAAACCATAACCCCAACACCCCACCTAACCCCCCCCCCACGTTTCCAGAGCCGACATGTTCCATTCCGAAGACGAATCCGAAAGCGAGAGGCCCGTGTCCGAATCCTTCAAAAAGCTGTGTCCGAACGCCGACCCGCGCGACGGCGTGAACCTCCAGCTGGCTCAGTCACTCCCCGACCCTCGTACGCTGAAGACGCATCTGCCTTTCTCTCTCTTCGCTCCTTCGCTCCTGGAGAAGGCCAAGGTGGGGGCATGGGGTTTGGGGCATTCCTTGTTGTTTTGTGGTTTTCATAGTTATTTCTGTGTGTGTTTGTTTGTGCTAGTATGTGTATCATGAGAATCCTTTAATCTATTTGTTTTAATTTAAAGTATACTTGTCTTTCTCAGTTTTTGGATTTTTATTACCTCCACCAAGGTTATGTTTTTGGTCGCGTTGGTTAGTTAGTTTGTTTTTGTGTTCGTTCGTTCGTTGGTTAAATTGCAGGATAACTAAAAAAAATTATAATTTTTTTTTTTTTCTTTTTCTTTTTTTCTTTTCTTTTTTACGAGAGGTGTGTCTTCGCCTAACTTAAATGCTATTATGTTTACGGACGTCACCTGTCTACTCGACAAAGGTGATTTTAATTTTTTTGTGTAAATATTTTTTGCAACAGTGTCCTTATTGCCTTGGCGGAGGTATGCGCTCTCCGAATGCTTCTAGCTTTTTATCATCATCGCCTAGTATTTCTTTATATTCTTTTTCTTTCTTCTGTGTACTTATGTGACAATACATTCAATTCTAAGGACCTTCTCGCTCTTGAAG